GCTATAGAAGGTAAATAGGATGTATGAAAAAGGGGGGCTGAGTCTGCTCTGCATGTTTGCACATCAGTCTTATTAGAGGTTGCCCCATAAAGCTTTCTGCTCTTTTCTTTAGCACTGTGGAGAATATTGTGTAAAGACGGGCTCACAAAAATCCCAGTTATTAGCACTCCTCTGCCCAAGTGAATCTGCTGTTTCATACAGAGTTGGATTATGAAATCCACTGTTGGCTGTGTTTTGATATCAAACAGAAACAAAGACCCAGATCTGGAAACCCTGGAGCAGTTCAAGGTCCAGAGTCAACTGCTGCAGCTGGGACCCGCTGCAGGTACAAGACAATGGGTGAGATCAGGATCACCCACAAAGGAGCCTTCCATTGGGACTTCCAGCCATCCCACACAAGTTCCTCAGAGCTGGTGTCAAAACACCTCTGCAGAAATCCAGGAGAAGGAAGTACAGTAGGATCCTTGCCAATTTACACCAATATGCAGAGCCAACCAATATGGTCACCTGAACCTGACATCTGTGGTACATTATAGGTCTTGCAAGAGGCCATTTGTAACTTCTGAAAGCATTGGAGCCTGGCAAGTTATCCAGTAGCTATATATTACTGGAAATATACAACTCTTCTTAAACCACCTGTGTTAGGGGTTTTAGTAGAGTAATTTTGCTATGACACATCCTTACCTCATTTTGCCATGGAATAGACACTGATCCTGTGGAAAACTTGGAATAGAAATCATCATCTGTTTGGTCCAGGTTAACTCCTTTCACTGTGGAGAACTGCTCGATGTCTAACACATCCTTGCAGTACACTGCTCTGGGCTATCTCAGCAGAAAAAAAAAAAAAAAGAAAAAACAGCAAGAGAAAAAAAATACTTCTGAGTCTGACCATGTGCTTTCATTCACAGGTTCAGTCAAGTGAGAATGCCTAACAACAAGTGACTATCTGCATCCTGCTTCTCTAGACTTGCTCTGTCCGCATGTTTATCATCAAAGGCCGACTTCGCTTTAAGCATGTTAAGCTTCCCACTTTGAAGTCCTTAAAGCATCAGCACAGCCAAAGTGGGTTTTAGTCATTCATGTAGCATATGGCAAAGAGGTGAGGGGAAAAGGACAGAAAGAGCAAGAAAACAAAAATCAAATCCTTCAGTAGTCTTTTCTTTTAGAAAGGGAACAACAGAAAACCAGAATGTTTATGAGCGACACGCTGGAGACAGCCTTGAAAAGGGACTTCAAGTAGAAGTGTCCTTCTGCTCAGAGAGCTGTGCAGTTTGCAGCTTACAATTTTAAAGGAATGTATACTAATTGCTAGAGAAAACAGAAGAGGTTTGGCATTTTTCCATTGTTTTTATTAATAGCTCAGCTGCTGGAAGCTGTCCAGAATCACCTCTATTAACTCTTTTAACTTGGCTGCCTTTCTTCAAACAAATAGTCAAATGGCTTTGCCTTTTTAAACTGCTTAATTTTCTGGGATGACAAAGACAGGACTCTTTGCAGTGACGCTGCTTTTAGCTCATATTCCAGCAGTCAGCCACAGAAAGGAGAAATAGTCATTACTGGCTACCTGTCATAGTTAGCGTGGTCATCCACATGCCTAGAGTTAGTGTGGTCATCTGACGTGCCCATCAGCAGCACAGTTACCCTTTGATGAGTAGGAATAATTGAGGGGTGGCTTGCGGGACTAGCCTGACCTGCTGAACTCAAGCATGGGTTGAATCCTACTGTCTACGCATGGTACCATGACTGCACAGCCCAGGGGTCCAACCATGCAGTGTTTTATCTAGATCTGAGCAGCATGATCAAACAAATCAAGCTGATTGCTGATGGAAGTCTTAGTTGCTGGAAGCTGCATCCCTCTGCATTCCTGATGGCTGCAGTCCACAACATTTTTGTGGAGACAAAGTAGTCCAGAAGAGGATGGAGAGACATGGGTTGGATTACAAACTCTGCCATTGGCTATATAGCTTTGAGTGATTCAGCTGAATTCCATAAAGACTTGGAAATCTATGGATGAAGTGCGCTATAAATTAAATTAGGGGTAGCTCTTGAGTTCCCAATAAATACCCATAAAAATTTATGTGCCTCTGCTTTAGCAAATATGTCTATAAGAGTGCCTTCTAGGCCTTACATGCCACAGTTAAGCTTTTAATACACTCTGGTGGATCCCAGATTTGAGCCCAGAATTTTCTAATTTTCTACATCAGAAAGAAATAGTAGCTTGTCTCCTATTTCTTCCCACTAAAGCAGGTTGTAACACCATGGGCTAATTGGCAGGAATAACTAGGCCACATAGTAAAATGTAAAGCAAAACCAGAGCAGCTAAAGTAAATTTTTGTAGCGTTCAAACCACTTTGGTTTGGTTGAGTTTGCAGCAATGTGTATGAGAGCTGCCAAAATGTTACTTTCCTTAATACTTTAAAATGGCAGTGTTTACTTAGAACCATATGGGAACTTTAAGGATAGAGGATCTAGCCAGAAAGCGAGCCCTGCAGGAGGAAAATAATCAGATAACTCTGTGCACTGGGGTAGAGACCGATACCACAAAAGGGTGGAAAAAGTTTTTTTGTTGCCAATGCAACAAAGACTTTCAGTGTGGTGTGTAAACCTGAGTAAGGACTCAGTGCTGGGTTCCACACCCCAGGAACACTAACAAGTTCAAAATGCTCTCTCAGCTCCAAGTCACCTCCTCTGCTTGAGGTGCCACTTGATACCTGAACCTGGTTCAGACACTCTGGAATAAATGCCTGTTTTCATGATGAGTCAGTCCGTTCCTCAGTTCCGTAGAGCTTTGGACTTGTAATTCTGGTTTCACCTCAGCATATATATCTAGATATCTGTATGCATACATGTGGCTTTCATTGGTTCCGAGCACCACCTGGTCCTGAGCGTACTTATTCTCACGCTACTACCGTGGATAAGGGAATACAAAGGTTCCCAGTTTAAAGATTGGGAACTGAGGCATGAACAGACCGCGTGGTGCCTCCAGTGTCACACAGGAAGACTGTGGTAAAGTGAGTGGGAATGAATCGAGCCCCAGGTTACCACTCTGCGTGGAGGCCCACCCACCCTGCATGCACACGGCTACAGAGCAGCTCTCCTCTTCCTCCCAGCCTCCTCTCTCGAGCCCTATCGCTTATCACATCTTCCTAGGGCAGCTACCCATGCAGAGAGTGATGACAGCTCTAAGAGAAGGACATTATTTTAGAAACAAATCTCTTGAAAGAGGCCACTGGGGGTTCTTCTTATTGTACTTACATCAGGGACAAAGGGAGGATCCAGCAT